TTTTCTTCTTCTCTTCCATTCCTCACCCCATTGAGGGTTAGCAGGGAGTAGAGCAAGGGGTTGCATAGTGCTTAGGTGCCCATCGGGCTTAACCTACAAGATTCATCAGCCCTTCACATAAAATCCACAGCAGCAAATCACAGGATGTGACCATTACCAAGATACTAGCAAAGAACTACGGAACATACACCACTGCAACAATGTGCTGAAATGTTAGCTCGCTAGCTGTGGTTATGACCTACTATCAGCACTTTTGGTTAAATAAGAATTAGGTTGATCATTTCTCAGTGTGTCATTGAGTCTCATTCATAAAGCAAGCTATACTTCTTGCCCCTTTCAGTTACAAGAATAAGCAGCATCTCAGACGGTACAGATGCCATAACATTTTCCAAAGAAAAGAACAGGAGGCTTCTCCTTCACCCATTCTCTTCATTTATCACACCTTGCTCCTTGCATCAGTGCAGCATTTGGTTAAATGGAAGTGCTTTGGAACGAAATGCTGTTCAGCATCAACTTCTTCTCAAACTGGCTTTCTGTCAGGAAAAAAAAAGTGTGTTGCCCAACAGCACACTCCATCAGCACAGATAAGTACTGAATTTGTAGTCCTTACAGACAGGCATAGTAGCACAGCCCCAGGTTTAACCAGACTGCCTTATTTATTACAGGACCTGGTTGGCAGTTCAGGAAGTTCCTTTATATATGTGACGTTAAGGCAAATGTCTTAAGACTAAGAAGTCTTGCTGTACTCAGACTTGACTTGGATTTGCAGCTTTTTTTTTTTTTGTCCCAGAATACAGTTTCAGAACAATACTTTTTCAGAAGAAAACACTACACTTGGGAAAACAGCTGATCCCTAGAGAACATTTATCCTGTGTGAGAATTTCAGATTTTGCAAGAAAGACAAGCCTGTTTCAGGATATGCCTTCTGCATATTATTTATTATAGCACAGTATTTATTACTGTAGTGTTGAAAGTCATAATCAGAAGGTATAATTTACTTAGCCACACACCACGCAAATACCTACATTTCCTGTGCTAAAGACATTATTTTATTTAGTTTTGGGGTTTTTGTGTTGTTTTTGTGGTTTCTGGGTTTTGTTGTGTTTTTTTTTTTTAAAGAAAGCTTTCAAAATATTTCAAAAAGCATGAGATGGTAAACATTTTCTGTCACCTCTTTTTAGCCAAGAAACATGACCTTGCCATAAACAGCCATATCTTCTGAAGTAGTTGGTATTAACATTATTCATGATGATTTTCAAGTAAGAATTCATTCATCTCTAGTGCTAGTGCTAGAGGACATTTCCTGTGAAAATGTATAAAAACCACCTCACTGTTATTCTTAAAGTACTTCTTTGGAGTTATGCTTTACTACTGCAACAAAAAAAGCTAAATCCAGGCTCATTCAGCACCCTCAAAACATGCATCCCCCGTTTCCCTGTGGTAAGTTTCAACTATTTAAATCTCTTTGTTGTCTGCTGATCTCATAAGTGTCCATAAATATTCTTACTCTGTGGTTGTGCTATGCCTTCAACACAGAACTTTGTTACCAACTAGGAGCTTTATGAGCATTGACAAGGAGAGATTCAGAAGTTTAAACCCTAAAATATTTTAAAAGTAAGCAATACTTCTAACTCTTAATTGTCAAGCTCCCCATCGCAACTGTGATGTCAAGCAGAAAGAGACGAGAGGAACTGCTAGAACAGATGAAATTTTGAGTACCAGTCATTTTCAGGTTAATGATTAGAGCCACAAACTGGACTTCCACACCTCCACACCAAGCCACCCACACAGCAGAACCAAACCACTCTGAAAATGAGGGTTCTTCCATCAAGTGCTGGGTTTAGTTGCAGCTCTTCAGTACAAGCCATACCCAGAAGGCAACCATCCCCATGTGTGCAAACTCTACCTTAGGAGGAATTCTTTAACATGACAGGTAGTAATACCACACAACACTGACACTCCCTTCCACTCAGACAAGTAAGAATAACTAACTCCCTAAACATGCCTTGAAAAAAAGTCAAGCAGAAGATAGAACTGTGCCTCATACGTCATTTATTTCCAGGGTAAAAGAAAATAACAGAATAAACTGAGCCCGTCCATGGCCATAGGAACTGTTCTGCCACATGCACCAGGGTATGCTCATTATTCTGACGGGGGACGCACAGAGCTGGGCACCATGACGTTATTAACTAAGTTACTAATAAAGACAAACTCTGAAGTGCCTTCAGGGAATAGACCCACTATCAGCTAAAGTCAAGCCAAGACTTCCACCCTGACGCAGCACTGCAGATCCATGCATACATTCAGGGATAGCTGGATGGAATTCTAACTCTCCCCAAAGCTCCTAGGATTAAATATGGGCTAGAAACTGCATAAGATACTGTTCTACTTTCAAGTTCCAGTTTCCAACACCAGCCACACGTGAGCAGTCACCTCTTCCTGAATACACACCTGAAATGCCTGCAAAAGTAGAAGCAATATTAACTTTCAACTTTAGTGTTCTACCAATGGAAAGATAAACATAATTCTCAGTATCCTGCCTTGCTTTTTCAACGATGCAACCAAATATTAGGTTAAAAAAAAAAAAAATCAAAGTTGTAGGTTTCTCATTTAATTACTTTGCAGACCTTCCAGTATGCATCTCTAATTTGCAAAGACACTGTGATGGTTTTATACTGTACAGCAGTTTACTTGAAGATTGATACAGTGGAAAAAAGTGGTGACATGTTAACTGTGCTGTAAAGGAGGTGGCAAGGAGCATTTTAATTTCATCTGAAAATCTGTCAGGACAGTTCTGTCATCATAAACCTAGCTCCCTTCCTTTTTCATAGTACCACATACAATGCAATGTGAAAACCTTCCAGTTGAAGAGGATTAATACTGACATTTGAATTTTTCCAATGTATAAGTAATATCAGCTTTAATAACACCCATACACGTCATCCTTTATGTTGTATGACATCTAGAACAAATTTACGGAACCTTTGTTCTCCCAACAGTTCAACACAACCAGTGGAGGGGGAAAAAAAAAAAGGAGGAATGAAAAATACTTAGGGGAGCAAAGACAGTCATTAGAACAAGAGCGAGACAGAGAGGCAGCATTTTGTATTCCATGGCTACTGTTTAGATTAATAGGAAGAGACCAGATAACTGGAACGGAAAATGGCTGCTTCAGCGACCTTTGGTGCGCACACTGCCAGCCCTGAGAATGAACCTTAAAAATGGATATGCTCAAAATATTCATCAAGAAAGGAGGGAGGAGGCAACTGACAGCCAGTTGAGAGAGAAGCAATGTCTATGGTAAGACTTACAATTCTGGGCTTTTTGGATCAGTTTGACCTCAATTTGCATCTCTTTATCATTCTATTCCTTTAATTAGATTAACGTGTCTTTCCTGGCACGCTGGAGGTGTTACAGCCTTGCTTCTTTAAATACATTTGAAATGTTAATTTAAAATGCTAACAGCAATGCACAGTAATGAAGAAGTACAGTACCATGAGATTGATGAAATTCATCTGGAAGAAGCACTTAATGCAGCAACAAAATCCTGAGCAACTGTCAAATACTTCTTTTCTGTCAACACTCACTTAACAAAAGCTTTAGATGATCTTTACTAGAGAAAAACTATTCTTAGCTGTTTAAAAATGACAGCAGAACAGCCTGATCCCCCTCTAATGGGAGATAAGTCTTCCAGCATCTCAATGGCCTGAAAGTTTAGTTTGATGATAAAAGCAACGTAGTTATTTTTAGCGCTCTACAGGCATAAAAATACAGCTCTAAACTGTGACCTACAGCTATGCACAGCCAAGCATCACATCACACGACAGCCTTAACTTTAGCTACAAGCAGGGCTGTAGTTGCTTCAGACTATCATTATTCATCTCACTACCAACAATACCTTTGGATGGATTTAGCAACAAGCATTTGAAATTGTCACCATCTTTTTTTAAATTGCTGCCACCGGCAGAACTCAATTCAAAGGTAGGAGATCTTAATGGACTTGGTAGAAAGTATTTGAGAGACCATGTTAGGTTAAATGGATTACTGCTTCTCTCTGGTACAGAGGATGAAAAAGAACCTTAAAAGCAGAAAAACTTAAACTGTCGTATGCAGTTCAGAAAGTCATTTTTTCTAAGCACAGTTTGAGTAAATGAAAAAAAAAAAAAAGAAAAAAGGAAAAAAAGAAAAAAACCCTTGTTTTCTTCCTGCAGTAGTAACAACCTGCAAACAGGACATGCTAGAATAAGAGACCTTCAAGCAAACTCACCTGAAACAACACTCTTCACAGAGAGCTGCAAAGGTAATTTATGTTATTTTACTCCAATTTGCATGCTTGTGTCTGCATGATTTCTTACAAACTGCAATTTAAAAGTCTACTCCACCAGATTTCTGATTCCAGGTTATGTGAACAATAATTTATTTAACATTTTAAATATAAATTGATACAGAAGTTGTAAAAACAGATCATGCAGAGTTCCAGCACTTAACTTTATTACTTACTATAGTCTTTAAATGTACTTATAACTTCAGATTTTGGAGGTTTGGGATTTTCTGCTTTGTTGGGGGGAGGGAGGAGCAGGCATGTTCTCATTTGGTTGGTTTTGGGTTTTTTATGGGGTTGGAGGTTTTTTGGTTTGCTTGTTTGAGGGGGAAGAGTTCCCTGGGGTTTCTTCCCTTCCCCCTTTTTTTTTTACCATATATACTATAGGACAGAAAATGAAATATTTCCAAGGTGATAGATATGCACTTTTAGATGCTGCAAACTTCACATAGTACTTTAACTCAGAAAACAGATGGGAAATTTTATAGAGTGTAAGGTTTGTCAGATTTCATTATGGCTCGGTGATTATTGTTATCACTACTTTTATTGTACTGCAAGCTATTTTAGCATCATTAACAAATTTTCATTCAGACATGCAGTTGCCAAGAAGGAAGTTAACAGGTAAAAAGAACTAATCGGTCAGACAGAAACAACCAATTTTTTTTTCCCCCCTCTCCCTCTCAGCTTAAAAATGCCATTTTTTGGTTGGATGAAATGGTCAAAAACTGATTCCTACAAGCCCACAAGATGTCCTGGATCAGAAGTTGTTACAAAAACCCTGCTGAGGGAGTTGAAATGGCACCTGAAAGAGCGTGAAAGATTAGTGCAAGAGATCGAAAACGAACAAAAAGTCCAGAAGACTGGCATGGATTACAACTGGCTCAAGAACTACCAGAACCCTCAAGCAACAATTCCAGCCACTGAGCAACGGCAGCTCGAAGTTCTGTGCTCACAAATCCAGCCTTGTCAAACGGGAACTGTTCTCAGCAGGTAATTGTTACGTATTTCCTTAATTCTGAGTACTCTATCAAAAATAAGATGTTTCTCTACCTAGTCCAAGTCAGTATTTGGCTCTGGTTTCCAGAAGTAGCTGTGACCAGCAACTGGAATGCATTTTTACAGGTGTTCTATAAATTACATCTTCACTTTAATATGTTGTACTTGAAGGAAGTTTTAAATCAGGATTTTCCTGGTCTACTCCAAACAAGGGAAGTCTTATATGACCTTTCGATACCTCCAGTTTTTCCTCTATTATTTATCCCCAATATTTGTAAAATAGTATCCCAATAACCAGAAATCAAATTAAAAGACTAATGCAATGCACTATTATGCAAAAAATCCAGCTTTTCTGTCCAAAATATAGGAAAGCTTCTAAAACTAGCAAATCAGTGTAAAAAAAAAAAATCCCACGCACACATTTTACAAAGAAAAATTCTCCTATGCCTGTATTTTAACACATTTTCTAGGGACTCGGATACAGTAGAACAAGCTCCTTTTAAAGCCCAGAATACACCTAAGGGCACAGTCAGTTTAAATCAAGTTACCCAGATGGGCCAGGAAAAAAAAAATTTAAAAAAAAGGAAAAAAGAAAAGCATACCCAATAACAACCACTTACAATCCTCATAATAGCTGGAGCACATCCAGTACATTGTTAGAGCTCTTTTCCTCTTACAGCCTTCTGGGGGAGGTGTGTGGGGAAATGTGGCAGCAAGGAAAAAATAGCACCAGCATGCAGTAATTTCCTCCTTCCCCACCTCCAATGACCAGAGAGGAAATAGAAGAGTTTTCAGCGCTGATGATTAGATTACAATTTTTGTTCGTTTCTAGATTTCGTGAAGTTTTGGCAGAAAACGATGTCTTGCCCTGGGAAATAGTCTACATATTCAAGCAAGTTTTAAAAGATTTTCTCACCACCACTGAGAGAGAGAATCAACCAGAGCAGCTGGCAGATGCATGGGATACAAACTGTCCTGAACATTTCACTCCGGGCGGCGACAGCTCTAACAAGTCGGACAAGGATGAAATCCCCACTGTTTCAAGTTATGTTGACAAGAACACACACAGCATGTTTCCCACCTTCTCTCATAGAATCTGGAATCTACCCTATTACTACCCATCAAGTTAAGTTGGTTTATGTTGCTTTCAAAAAGTTATGCAGCCGTTCGCATTCCTTTCTTGTGATTGCCATCCAGACACATAGGAGTAAGAAACGTGACCTGCTCCCCTTTTTTTTCCAAGTTCAGAAATTAAAATCCTTTGTTATAGCTAGTATGCAGTAACTTTAACTATCAACTCCCTTTTATCTTTATAGTTTCTTAGAGCTGTTGTGTTTAAAGCCATCTTTTAATTAGCAATTTAGATGTTTCTGAAAAAATTCTGAAGCATTTTTTAGCTGTATAGAGTTAGAACCATTTAAACAACAAAAACTACTACTTTCCATATTTTGAAACAGCATCAATCCACACAGCATTAAACAAAAACTTCTGTATTTGTCACATAGCTTTTAGGCTCTTATGAGAACTTTATACTGTGTAAATGAAATGGTTTAATATACTTACAGTAATACAAAATAAATTAGTCAATACTTTTTGGAGCTGAATAGTTATTTCTTAATTCGAAGAGTAAGTTGCATGAAACCATTAACAGAACTTATAACATGCTGCATGTAGCATTTCTATATTTTTTTTCTAAACTGTACTCTGCACGTGTTGAAGTATTATAAAGGTGGACAACTGAATGAAAGCACTGGATATTTAACAGCATTTAATAACTAGCTCTATGTTCTGCATGAAATTAATGAGTTATATTATTTCAAACAGCTGTACTTCATTTGATTTACTGGAAACTTCTCTGAAAGCTCAATTCTGCATTAAACTTAAACATTTTGATCAAATCAGACAGTACTTTTCTAGAATAGCCAAAGAGTCAAGCCAGATCATTTCCAAAGCATGAGGTGATTATTCTAAATTTAAATATAACAACATTTCATGTTTTTCAGTTGCCATCATCTATCACTGTGGGTTCATAATAAAGTTTTACAAGACTGATTGGATACATAGGAGTTACCATCACAGCAGGCAATTAGAGCAGAAAATCAATGAAAACATATGCCAGAACTCAGTTGGCTACATTTCCAATTGTACTCCCATCACTGTACGTAACAAGTTCCTACGTGTCTTATGTAACCTCTTCTTCTCCAATTTCCTTTTAATCTGTCTGCCACATCACAAAGACTCACATGGCCCCATTCACAAAACCCACTACTTTGCAAACATAAAGGAAAACTGCTTCCTCTGATATTTTCCTCAAGCATACTAAAGACAACATTCCAGTTTCATCAAGTTGGTACTACACAACTGCAAGGCATTTTGTTATGCTCCACAGTTGTATCCCCCACCCAAGAAAGAATTTACTACTAATGCAATATAAATTGCATGAATAAATGGCACAATATTTTCATAAACAATGAAAATATTACTTAAATTTCTGGAAAGCTTGTAATATAAAGAACACTTCATGTAGAAAAGTAAAATGTAAAGTCCGCAGAATATAAAATAATCAAAACTCTTGCACACACCTAAAGGGCAAAGCACTGAAGGACAAGAGTAAAACATTTCCTGTAGGTTTAAAATAAAATTTGCAGCTCAATACCAAAATTAAGGAGTCCCTCCACTTACCATAAACTAAATATACAAAACTTCACAAGCAGGTGCAAACTCATTATATCTGTGCTCAGAGCTGCTATAAACTCTTGGCCTTCCTTTTGTCAGTTGTCAATTTGTGGATAAATAACAAAAAAGCTGCTCTGAACTTACTCTGCCCTTCTGAGGCAGCACAAGGAGTTGAAAACTCTTTTCCTGAAGAAAGGAAATTCTTTCCCTGCAAGAAGGTAGGAAAAGACTGTAAGGAAGGTTTTCCTTCAATGATAAAACTCCCCAAAGTGCTAAATGTGAAGTATCATTTCCATAGGAATGAGGGTGACAGGTACTGAGCACAAAAAGGCATTGGTAGAAATGTTATACTGAGAAATATACTCACAAATAGTAGTTTCAGAAAATACATTTTATTTATCAAACATGCAAGTTTCCTGTAATGGTAATTCACATAAGTTTATTTCTTTAAATAGTACCCTCAAAGCCTTCTACTGGAAAATAAGTGAAAAAAGCCCTAAAAATTTTGCTTTCAAATTTTAGCTATGGAAAATGAAAGGCCAGTAAGCATGGAAGACCCACTTACCTTTATGATCAGGGAAAAAAATAAAAGAGACAAAACCAACCCCACAGGCTGACCACAGATACAACATCCCTTTCACTTCTATTTCACTTTAATATAAGCAAATGGATTTTCCTAAGTCCAGAAACAAGAGCCATCAACTACACCATATGCTAAAAGGCAGTTGCTGAACAATAGTTATCAAATGTATCTAGGCATCACAACCAGTTCAATGTTAAATTCCAATGAAATGCACAAGAAGGCTCATCTACTTTTATATGCATGTTTTACTGATGAAGCTGATACTAGGCTGCTGTATCGAGTCCTAGTGCCCATACTTGGGGGAGAGGGAGAGACCAAGGGGGAACTGCAGAAGGTACAAGAAAAAATAAGCTAAGTGCTGAGAAAATGCCATTCACTAAGGCCTCACTTTGTCCATGTTTTCAAAACCAGAAAATGAAGGGTAACTTGCAAAATATGAGCACTTTCTCCTGATCAAAGTACTATATACCTTCTCTAGTTAAACAGCGAAGAAAAGCATAGGAGCAGCAAAGGTGTAAGAATAAGAAGCCAAACTAAAGAAGAAATACATTTTAAAGAAATGCGTTAAGTTTATTGCAATATGCTACAAAGAGAATCTGTTCCTCAGTTTACCAGCTAAGACAAGCCATTTTCTAGAGAACAGCTTACGCTCGGGTTTCAGCTCCATCAGACAGGAGTACGATGGCTGTAGGCCGGTCATCACCTCCCTGCAGAAAAAAATCACTGTCCAAGAACTCAACTGCTTCTTTAGGCGTTTTTTATTTATGGTCTACATGATTTGCACGAGGTGCTCTGAAACTCTGTCACTCCGTACACTAACTCAGCCATATTTCTGACACAGGCAGCCAACACAAACCCCTCCAGGGACAGAAAGGTGAGCGGTAATAATTCCAAAGGACAGAAATGTCTCCACCTGCACAGGTGTCAGGCAGAGCAAATAGTGTGCAGTGTTTCTGGCCAAAGCTACACCTATGAAATGCAAAAAATTAAAAAGAGAATAACCATCTCTTCCTCACTTAAGCCTTTAACTGTCTTAATGTGAACCACAATTGTGTAGATAACAGGGAAAGATTTACAGGTCTAAATTTCTTTTTGTTCACTTGAATGTAATCAGAGGAGTTAAAAAGTTAATCAGCGAGCTACTTAAGGATCAAAACTCTCGCCACAATTTCTGTGGTTTCTATTACCTTCCCCTAACAAGCTCAATAACTAATACTGCTATTCTAGATGCAGTTCAGAAAACAAAGTAATCTTAAAAGCCTTGGAAAATGAGGCATCATTTGTAAAGAAGAAAACACATTCCACATCTCTTTTTAAAGGAGATGTGAGGCTTTTAGATCCCATTAGACAATCTCAGTAGCATTTTTGTAAACTACTAATTATTACACACACCTGTGCACAATAACACACCTGTTGTTACCATTACCAATTTGGTACTAAACCCACAAAATTTAGACAAGAGGGGCAGGCAGAGAGTCTCCATCAATAAGTGTATATCCAACTTGAAATAAATACAAATAAGCATTCAAAAAATTTGGTAAAACTTTGGTTTTGATTTTCTAAAGAAACAAATCAAGAGTTTTAACGGAAATATTAAAATAGACTTTTATGCTACAAGCAGACTTAACAAAAAAGAAATTCTTTTGGTTTTTTTCAGTTCTTCAAACTCAATTTCTTAAGACACCAGTGAATAAAAGACAAGCACTTGAATCTAAACCTCCTCAAGAGTTTTCAAGTTTTGCAAAAACTCTTTAAATGCAAGCACGGTCCCAGAACTATGAAACAGAAGCATGTATGGAAACAAAACACAGCTAAGCAAACATGCCTTTTCATAGAGGTTCTCCCCGTTTTGTGGCAGCACATACACACCTATTATCTATGCTCAAAGATTTTATACAAGTGCATTGCTGAGAGGTCTGTCCACACTTACATAAATAGTCCCTTAGGATGCAGAGCCCCTCCATCTCCCCCTAAGATGGGGGGGAACCCAAACCCCTAAGATTAACTTTTCACTGTTATCACAGCTGTCAAACCCACAATTAGATCATCTGCTAAGATTTGTGAGTGGAAAGAGGTATTTATCCAAACAAAGACAAAGATTTGCCTCTTTGTAGGCACACAAGGCTTCTCCTGCGTTACCTGACATGTTTTGGTGACAGCGCTCAGCTGGATTCAAGAATCTCTTGTCAAACACTTCCCAAGTACTGTGGAAATGTTATTTTTACCTAAATAAAGACTGAGAAGTCTCAGACATCTTGTACATACTGGATTCCAGAATTACATTTACAGTAAATAATCTTAGAGAACTATGAAATTTTGTCTGGTCACTTCTGAAAAATTTTAACTACCTGCATAAAATCCAGTAGGTCTCAGTCAGATTCGGAGCTTGATAACGGCAGGAGTTTTACATTAAAGGATAAAAAGGAATAGATATTTTGATGTGCCACTTTTGTCCTTCACTCAAAGCAAAGACAGAAACCATCAGCCCCAACAGCCTCTGCTGAGCTATCAGAACACCTGCTGTTGACATTATGCAAAAGGTTCATCCTCTCTCAGAAGCAAATGTACATCTTTAAGAAAGTTCCAGAAACCAAGTAACCTATACTGCTGTACATCATATAGGGTGGAAAAAAAAAAACCACAACAAGTCAACACTCATTGTAGACTGTACCCTCCATCTGATTTTGAAGAAGACTTTACTGTATGGAAGTGCATACAAAATACTTTTCTATGGCAACCAAAGATACTCCAGCGAGAACTGATCTAAATACTAAGATTAGCGCGCAAGGCCACGACATCTTTCAGTTTAGGCATCATCCAAGGGTAAATATTTTGTGGTTTTCAATATCCAGACATTAGTGCAAACCAACTATACCTGGCTGCTATACAGATACACGTTAAATTCTCCTCGGCTGTAAACTCTGCCATTAGAGAATAAAGCATTTCCAAGGACTGACATGTCAATTTACCTCAAATTAACTTTAGCCTGGCAACTTAAATGCTTCAGTTAGGTCACTATAGCAATGAACTCTTGAATCTCATTTTATTTACCACTTGCCACTGACAAAATTATTCAGTTAATACACCTGAAACAAGATAAACTGGGTGGGTCTTTCCTAACCCTGTTACACAGTTTTTCAACAAGACTTGCCAGAGCCGCACACCAGTGCTAATGCACTTCAGATAAAGCAAATCCTACAAGCAGCATGTCTAACGATGATCGAGACAACTGAGACAAGGAGCAAATCAGAAAGTAACAGAAGTATTAGGCCAAGAAAAACACATCTATCCACACCTGGGCTAGAACCACAAACACTACCAGGGGTGTTAGGCTGGAAGCCAACAACTGCAGACCCAGTGTGCCAGGTAGAGGAGAGGAGCTAAAGGAGGCTGCCCAGACCTCGGGGAATGCCCGGCGCACCCAGAGCCACGGGCACACAGCAGAGAGGAGGGGCGGGCACCACCAAGCGCAGCAGCGCAGCGCCCCGCACTCACCCCGCAGCCGCCAGCGGCTCCGGTGCGGGCTGGCGGGGGCTAGAGCACGGCGGGGCGGCCTGCGCCTCCTCGCCCAGCAGCTCGACGGCGGTGACGGCGCTGCCGACGGTGAACCAGTCTCGGATCTGCTCCCGGGTGAGTTTCCGCAGCATGGCGGGGCACGGCCGGCTCCCGGCACGCGCGCGGGCCTCGCGCCGCCGCCACCACAGCCCTTCCCGCCCTCCGCGCGGCCCCGCCCCCGGCGCGCGAGCACAGCTGAGGGGCGATGCCGGCCCCGCCCCGGCGCGCGAGCACAGCTGAGGGGCGATGCCGGCCCCGCCCCGGCGCGCGAGCACAGCTGAGGGGCGATTCCAGACCCACCAGGCGGGAGCGATCCCAGGAGGTTTTGTCCTCTTGGGCCGGCTCTGCCCTCCCTGCCCAGCCCGCCCAGCTGTGGGCGCTGCCCGCTCGCCTTCGAACCCCCACCCCAAAACGTGTAACAGCCTTGCTTGCCGCAGGAAGGCACACGCAGGCCTGAAGTATATGGGAAGGTCGAACACTAAAGCCGGCCATCCCTGTTGGATAATATTCCTCAAAAGAAGAATAGGAACTAAAATAAACATGTGCCACTAAGCTTCTCTTTTTTTTTTTTTCGAAAACAACTGAAAACACCTGTAATTTGTTAAATCAGATAAATACAAAACAACATAAACAGAGGGTAGCCCCTTACTTTCTCACATATAATTGAAGGGTGTACCATCTTCACACTGAATCCAATGCAGTTAATTGGCTGACTGCTCTAGAACTGTTACTGTCAGGTAGGTAAATACAAATCTGGGATGTACATAGAGAGATGAAGATACCACAGCCTCTGGTTGTTTTAACATACCAGCCTCAAAATCCTAAATTAAAGAAACAAGGGATATTCCTCACAAAACTGTAACAAGGTTTTGAATGTTCTAAATGAAGGAGGTGAGGTATGTGCAGTATTTAATCGACATAAGTTATGATCCTCTTTGAATGCAAAAAAGCCCCAAGTGAGATCCAAGAAGACTTGCCTTGCATAACAAAGCTCACATTTAGCAAATCTATACACTTGCAGATTATGTAAATCACTCAGTAGGAAAGTAAATGTGTTCTATGATCCCACTAAAGAATTTTAACATGAGAAAAAGGTCTGAGCTCTGCCTTCCCTTCCCAGGCACAGGAGGCCTGGGTGGTCATTTCCCTTCACACCCACAGAACACCTGAGTGCTACTCTGGAATCCCAGTTGTCCCATCCTTTCCCAGAGGAAATGGCCCACAAGGCACACAGGTGCGTCAGAGCTGCTGAATCTGGCCCAGTGGTGCCTCCTGCTCCCCCAGGACAACCTATTCCCTAGGGGACACACTCCACAGACTCGTGACAGGCCCTTTTGGCATTGTCCTGGTGCAGGACACCTGTTGTGTTCCTTCTTGGGAAGCAGGACCGAGGTGCAGTTTGGGCAGGACACTGTTAGGCAGCAAGGTGCATTAGGAAGAGCATTCCCAGCTGGTGGAAGGAGGTGATCCTGCCCCTCTGCTCAGGCCTAGTGAGGCCACATCTGGAGTGATGTGTCCAGTTCTGGGCTCCTCTGTTCAAGGGAGACATGGAGCTCCTGGAGCAGGTCCAGTGGAGAGCTGCAAAGATGATGAGGGAACTGGAGCACTCCTCTTATGAGGAAAGGCTGACAGAGTTCAACCTCGAGGAGATAACTGAGAGGGGGCCTCATAAATGTCTGTAAGTATTTGGAGGGCGGGTGCCAAGAGGACGGAGCTGGGCTCTTCTCAGTGGTGCTGAGCAACAGGACAAGAGGCAACGAGCAGAAATTGATGCACAGGAAGTTCCACCTGAACATGAGGAAGAACTTCTTCACTATGCAGTGACCGAGCACTGGAGCATATTGACCAGAGAGTCACAGACACAGGTGTGAAGTCTCGCTCACTGACGCAACCCTGTGCCATGTGCTCTGGGATGACCCTGCTGGAGCAGGGCGGTAGGACCAGATGCCCGGTGCCTTCCCGCCCGACCCATCCCGCGGTTCCCAGGGAAGCGGGGCCGGCACGGCGGCGGGGCGGGAGCGCTCCGGTCCTCCGCGGCCATAGGGGGCGCCGCAGCTCCCGCTCCCCGCTCGGCCCTTCCCGGCGCGCCCCGCGGCCGCAGCGGACCCGTCCCCGGCCTGACCTTCGCGCTCCGCCGCCACGGTGGGTCCGGGCCCGCGGCACCAGGACGGGTCACGGCGGTTCTGCCGGGCAGCGCTCGGGGAGGGGGGTATCGTTGGTTCACCGGGAAAGGGGAGGGAGGTGCGGCCGGTGGCGCTGGAGCTCTGCCGTTACCCACCGCCCACCCCAGCGCTGCGGGTCGGGCCTCGGGCGGCCGCAGGTGCCCCGGGCTAAGAGGGGTTGTGGCGGGGATGGCAGGGAGACGGCAATTTCAGCGCCGTTCCGGGTAGATTTCTTTAAAAATTGGCCTGGACGACGTCTCGCCCAGGCCTTGGGGCATGGTCTCTGCCGGGCTTTTAGCAGGGTGTTAGCTGGAAACAGCACCGCTTGTTGCTGTGTTCTGTAGTAGTGTAGTACAAATCTTGCTTTTCAGTCACCTTGTTACTGTGTCTTGTTATTCTGCTGTAGCAGAGTGACTGTTATTATCCCACTGTTCATCTGAAACTACAAATGCTGGAAGTGTAGGGGGAGGTGCAGTGTCCTTGATAGCGTTGGTGAAAGCACGACGCTGTTTCAGGAACTCCGGCCACAGTAATAAATTGGATTGAAATGACTGCCCCTAAACAAATAAAAGATAAATGTGGGTTTGTCTGTAATTAGACGTGAATTGCCTGGGAGTTGCTTTGGTTGTTTAAGAAGCACTCATATCTTTGCAGCTGTTTTGGCATGGGCTGCCCTCTCAATCCTTTTCTCTCTGAGGCTTTGCCCAGGGATGCTCTACGTTTAGTAATGGCTCATAAGTGAGTGAGCATTACGTCAGAGATGTTTAACTCTGCTTTTCTTTCCTAGAACTCTGGTTTACCATATACTGTCTATATGTGTTTATGTCTGACTTTATGGGGTTGTAATAAGTGTAAATAGTGACCATTGGGTGAAGTGCTGTACATAAGGCAGTAGAGCATGTGGCATTTCAGTGCAGTGGGGTGCAAATGTGAACTAACATTTATGGGAGTTAGGGTAGGCTTTAGTCTAAAACGTCCTACAGTTTTCTGTTTGTCTAACAAAGCTGCTTAGAGAGGAAAAAACCCAACACTGACAGGCTTCTTGTTCTTGGGGCATATTTTGAAAGTCAAATAGTCATGATAAAGCATGAATTCATTAGCTTAACATCATTTATTTTGCTATTTTGAGTAGAAATTACCATGCTGGAAGAGACAGCTGCGAGGGAGGGAAGCTAAATTGGTAGTGCAAGGAAGGAGCCTCTCTGGCTTGTCTGGAATGAGACTTTTCTCCTGAGGGAATCTGGAAATATTAAAAAGAGCTGTCACTGATAGGGAGAGAGGAATTGCTACTCTGTAAATGCTCTGTTGACTCATTTTTTAACCCCTTCATTAGCTGTAATTTATTTTTTTTGTATTGTGTTAGTCCTTAAATTGTAACTTTAACTCTAAATTTTCATCGCTTTCCTTTGGAATAGGTACTTTTGCGTGTTGGGGGATATATAATTTTTTTTACCTGCAAACTGCTGTGGATATGTATCAGGACTCTGTGTGTGTGTATACATAAAGATAGATATATTGATATACATGTGTGTCTGTATATATATTAAAAATCCAGCAGGTTAAGAATACAGTTGCAAAATTTACCATGACAAAACTTTTTTATAATTTTCAGATGGTGCAGACCATGATTCCAAAGTCATGGAGATCCATGAAACTCTACTTCACTACTGTATATCAAGAGATTTGGGTTGGTGTGGCATTAACAGCTTATGCTTATTACAAAATCTCCTATGGCGGTAAGTTACACATTACAGTCCCCGTTAGCTGTTACCTTATAGATAAAAGTTTATAGAAGAGAATAACAAATCAGTCAGCAAAAACAAATTTATATTCTTACTTAGGGCCAGGTCTTTGCCGTAAAAATTTAGAAGTTTTAACTTGCTCATCGTAGAAGGTTGCACTAATAAAAATACTCAAATACCAGTGTAACTGTGCCTAAGTTATGAAGATCAGGAAATACAGGAATTGGTTTTAAAAACGCACGTCTGACTGGCTCAAGATCTGAAAAAAACCACCACTTTTTAAAAGGTTTTCTCATGTGACCTTGTGAAAGTGTATTTTGGGCTGATGCACCTCAAAATGCAAGTTACATCACTGAATGTGAAAATGTATGTTACTTGTTGACATTGGATCGTTTTTCTTAGAGAAAGAAACGTGGTGTCCTAAAGGTCCTGTTTTTCAATTTAGGCTGTGCTGAAAAATCCCAAGTCAAACCCTTTTCAATTGAAATGCTACAAGCTGTAGGCAAAGTCAACAGGGAAAGGAACCCCTTGCTGTGGGAACAGCTGAGTGATACTGCCTCAGTATTTTTCCAGCTTTGTCCAAATAATGTGTATCATGTCCAAAATTGTTACGTTGCACTTTAATAAGATTAAATAAATATAAGTAGGTAAGCAGGTAGGGGAAAAAAAAAAGGTTTTAACTTTTGCTTTAACCTTTAATTTCAAGGAAAATTTTAAAACAAACATATCGCTTCTGTTTACATCTCTGTGTTGTTTATATTTATATTTATATATATAAAATACCCATATTTTCTGTAAAATACTAACATTCCATATACATTTCTTTTGAATTATAGTAGTAGTCTTGGTGGCTACAATTCCGAAATGCATGGAGTCTTGATTAATTTAAAACAAACAACTTCTAAAAATCAATATAAAGTTTACTGAGACATGGACAGTACATGTTTTGTACACTTAGGAAATCTTGTTTGAGCTAAATTGGCAAATAATAAGTAGTATAAGCTCATTTTCTCTGCAAAAAGTAAATAGAAAATAAATTTTTTAACATCATTGTTCAGCTTGGTTTTTTCCTATTTTTTTTCCCCAGGCAAAAAAGCAGTGGCAAATAGTAAGTATTAAACATCTAATACCTTGTTTTATTTCTTAAATGAGTGCAATAAAAATTAGCTCAGAATATTTTATGTAAGTTTGGGGTTAAGTTATGGATTTAGAAAATGTTTAAAGACTACTTCAAAACATGTAATTTTGATTGTGTTGATTAGATTATAAAACCTAGAACCATCAGTAAATCTGCACAGACATTACTTCTGTCTTAATCTGTCTTTTGGATGGATTTTTAATTTTCTGTAATTACAGAAAATAGTGCCCAGTAGACTTCAAGATAACATAAATAAACTTCCATTGTGAAAGAAACATACCAAAACATAAGGAAGAATGGATGTTTGCCCATAATAGTGCTTTAAAACTTGCAGAAGAGGATTTTTAGTATTGGCCAAGTTTATTTATGCATAGTTCAAGGGTTTTATTTGAATTGCCAGTTCTTGTGCTCAGATGTAGGTTCAGTTCAGTCTGTTCTGGGATCTGTACTACGTTCCTGAATTGATCTGCTTTACTGTTTGAACAGTCTAAATCGTGTCTTTGTTTCAGAGTCCTCTGGCCATCATTAAAGACCCCTTCTCTTCTTGGAATATGAATTTGGTGGTTCGTCATCTTTGCTGTAAATGAAGCAAGTCACAACCCTAGGGAAATTACTCTAAAACTGTACCTGATCCATCTGCTGTAATGGGAGAAGGAATAAATCCATTGAGTCACAACTAATTAAAGATGTTGGACAAAGTATGCTGAGTGTATTCTTTAACTAATTTTTAGAATAAGCATTTTTTGTTTTCTACAGTTCTTCCAAGTTCCATGTTAAACTTTTTCAATGGTATTTTGAAAAAGACCAAATTTTTACAAGTACTTAATAGAATTATCTTCCTTTTTTTTTTTTTTAAATTCTCCCCTTAATGATAGCTTTTTTGGCTATTTACTTTAAAAATGTAATTTAACAGGATGCCAAGTGTGAGTACTTAAATCTCAGCTGTTTGTCAATTTGTAGTGCAATAATCAAGGGTACAAAAATTTTTAAAGCCTAATTTTTTTTTTTTTAAGAATTCTTAGTTCTAAAGGATTTAAAATCAAAAGCCGTATTGTTATGAAAACACCATGAAAAACGCTTACAGATGTTATTTAAAAGTACATTACTGACAACTATCTTTTTTTTGTCCTTCATGTTCAGTAGAGCTAAGGGATTACTCTGAAAGGCTCTTCCTTTAGTCACAGATTTTGCAAAGGATCTGTATTGTATAAGAAAATTGATGCCTCATGGGCTTTCATCTGCCATTTGAGCTTGTGAAAATCTCAGGATTTAAAGGGAATAATGACGTCATGCACTGTGGCAGCAGTTAATATAAGCATAAATAAATATTTAACTGACTTCAAAGATTTTTCCTTGTTCCTGAAAATTTAGAAGTCGCAGATGTGTTAGTGGGATGGGTCATAAGTGGATTTGCAGATAGCTTTTAGAAGTGACTTCACAGCAAGTGTATTTTGGAGACTCTAGGGACATATGGTATCTTAAAAAAATCAGCGTTCAGAACTATACATACTGATTTCTATACCATGGATACATAGGGTGTAAACCAAAATTGGACTTCATGTCATGTTTTTTTTAAATTTAGCCTAATCTGCTTTTAAGAAGATGAAGAGGCTTAAGTCATTTTAATGACTTAATGCTTACGTACTTCTTTTTAACTACTTCCCTGAAACATCTTAAATCTTTCAGCTTGAGTAAAGTTTTGCTTTAGAAAATTTGCAGTCTCTTACTACAGTATCTGGCCATAACCTAAATATTTTGTATTTGAATTCTCAGGAACTTGATAACTTTACCCACTGGTGGTAAACATTCCAAACATTGTGTTGCCTCTAATTTCTTCCAAGTTTATCCTTATGCTTAAGCTTAATAGCTGTACCTACTGAGTAGAGTAAAATTACCAGTCTTATTTCTCTGAAAGCTTTTCTACAGAAGGCAGGTATAGCATCACTGAATTTGTACAGGTGACATCTGTCTTTCATGCATTCTTGACATTTCTTCCACCTCCCACAGGGTTCCTTGTTGTGCTTTCCCTTGATATGTTTTAGCTGATTCTTTAGTCGTTTCTGTATGGGTTTTTCTGTGTTTCCTCACCACAGAAGAATGAATGAGATGTAAGAAGAATTCGCTATTTGTGGTTTTTTACATAAAAAAGCAAAAGCATCCAGAAGAAGGGAAGAGAGAATGGATACTAGAAGAAAATTGGGCTTCAAATGAACAGATACTAGGCCAGTGGTAATTACAGGGTGGGTGAGTTGTGGTTTACTTAATAAGCAGGAGATTGAAAATTTATGCCAGGTAAGGAGCTATACGTGCATTTGTAATGCAAATTTATGATCACTAAGTTATAGTTCCTAAGATACCACACATACTTCAAATGACCTGCTTTAGCAATTTTCAATTACAGAGCTGAGGAAAACAGACCAAGGAAGAAACATCAATCACTGCAGGATTTGCTTCACCTTAGCTAGAACCCAGACCATTGGCACCGAGGCACAATATGCTGTCTGATCTCCTGGGTGTTAGTTGAGAGGAAAGAGAAGCTTCTGCTAACCAGCCTTTGGAGCACAGTTAACTGCACTTTGACCTAAACTTAACCTGCTTCAAGTCTTAACTATCTGACTTGCTTGATTTTCTAGTAGGGAAAGAAAGTACATATGGGCAGCAGTGTCCAGGTTATAGAAACAGCAGTTTCTACTGAAACAATGCCATCTGCAACTGGATCTTCTGTTGGTACTTCTCTGTCAGAAATTTCTGTGAAAGCTACAGAATATTCCCTCCTTTGTGATTCTGAACACAAATGTCTGCAGAAGATAGGCAAAGTAAGACTGCTGTTTATGTTTCAATAGATGTTCTGGGTTTCTTACTCAAGTATCATACAAAAGAAGGAAATTCCATCAGTGGCTTGACTCAAAAGCAGAAATCAACACACCCATAACATGTAACACCTGTAGTACTATATCTATATGCTTCCTGCTCCTCTATGCTGAAGAATAGCAGGTAGTGTAAAAGACAATAGAGGAAAGATAGCTAAGGCATTGTGAGGGCCACTTCATATTTACAGAGTGGAAGGAGCAATTAATTTTGATTGCAGCACTAGCACCTGGAGTGTAGCCCTAGGTAGAGAAGCATTGCAAGGAGTACCCACCCTTGAAGTGAATACTCTTCATTTTAGAATATGGGCCTTTTTTTTTTTTTTTCTAATTTAGCTAGGGTGATTTCTAAAGCTAACTTAAAACAAAAAAGGTTTTCTTGTTCCAGGTAAATGTCTATACTGACAGTACTCAGCTCCTGAACAAGCCAATTTTCTATGCAAATGACTATGTAAAATCAGGACTCTAATGCAAGGAGGTAATATTCATCATGATTCACAGCTAAACTCTGGTGGAGGATATGCCTAGTGCTCATTGGCGGATCGTGTTGTTTCCATTTAGCTGCTGCCTCTATATTGCTGACATTTCTGAAACAGAGGATTACATTTAAACTTTGTGTAATAAAGTAGTTCAGCAACTGCATTTTTTGTTTGCTGCCTGTGACAAGGCATCAGCAGTGACAAAAACCTGACTGTTTACTACCTTTGCCATGTTAGTGGAACAACAAACATTCATAGGGTTTGAGGAGCATTATCCAATTACTGCAGCACCATCTTGGCTAAGTCTTGCTGTGTCCAAAAAAAAAAAAAAGAAATTTGGGTTTCTTAGAACATGAAAGCTCAGCAATAGGGAGCTGTATTAATAATGACAATGCAAATGCAAGATGTGGTCTTTTTACAGTACAGGTACTTCTGTATTTGCCCCTCCACGCTGGATCTTATTTATGGCTGTGATTTCTCATTGGATTGATTTATGGCTCTGGGATTTCTCGGACATTTGTGTTTTCCTGCAATTGGGAACCTCACAGTATCTTCTGCATGCTAATAAAGTATTATGGAATACTATAGGGGAGCAGCAAAATACAGTCAGAGCCAAGGAAACATTAGTCACAGGGCCCAACCTACTTAACCTCTTTAATGGCTAACTTGGAAAAAGCCCAAATGTGTGTTTATGTTAATTTGGAGGATGAGTAAAGCTGCAGGAAATGATCCAAAGTAACTAAAACAGCTGAACTAGTCTCCTGTTTATCTGAATCATGACAGCAAACCACTGTACTACAAATACATCCCGATACAGAGCTGGTATCTACAAGTGTATTGTACTTCCAGTCCCGAAGGAAGGAAAACTGTCAGGTGCTCATTAGACACAGGTGATTGTGTGTGTCATCACCACCAGCTGGCTGAAATGAAACCGGGGAAGTCAGTGTGTGAAATCTCCATTGTTCCATTCACGGAAATCTGTAAAGTCACTAGGAAGGAAAGAATAGTAAGATGGAGGTTCCCTGAGGCATTAAATATGTTGGTTAACAATTTTTTAAATGGAGGAACAAGAAGTGACAAGATAGTGCTTGAACAGCAAGCTCTGCGAACTATAATTCCATGACCTTTAGCAACTAACATTTAGCAGCTAATATTCTTGACTGATTTGGTAATTTATGAAAAACTCATGAACAGGACAGTCTTGTAGTCTACTACACTGTTGCAGACAAAGTGCTTAGAAACAGTTACTCTCTCCTAACTCAAAATGAACTGACCACCACAAGAATGATGATTTGGGAGTTTTAATTAAATTCTGCTAAGGGCACTATGTGTCTTTGGTTATGGCTTAGCAGTACAAATGCTCTGGCAGCTACACCAGCTTGTGGTGTTTTGACCCTTACACCGTAGTGCCTTGCTCCTTAAAGTTGCGCTGATACAATTATTTGTGAATCAGATCAGGCAATTTTTCATAATTTTATGGGTCTCTTCCTCTCTCAAATAGCAAAACAAGCACTTGTTGGGACTTTTTCCATTTTAATTTGGATCCATCTGATCTTGTTTAGAGCAAAGCTGCTTTATAACTTGCATTATAGCACAACAGCTTTTTTTCTTTTTTTTTTTCTCCAGAAAAGGGGCAGAAGAATCAAAATTCCTAGCTTCCCATTCACTCACTCAACTTCCCTAAGTCACTGTGTCCCTTGCAATAATGCAGTGCAAGCTTCCTCCTCGTACACAGCTACACACATGATCAAAGTACTGTCTCTCCAGTAAGAAGTGTCATCACTGTCAAAGTCAGAGGAATAAAACGAATGCAGAACCCCACCCTGTATACAAATCAGGAATGTCAGCTTGTGCTTCAGCAAAGGCAGAGCCTCGCTTCCTTCCTCTGGGACAGCACATGGCTTTCTCGAGTTTATACTATCACTTAATTATTCGGACAAATGAACAAACAAGTAGGGAACAGGGAGAACCACTGTATGATGATATCCTAGTGCTTAATACAAATTTGGTAGTGGTTCATCAAATCAAATTGTTTTATTTGTTATTATCAAATGAAAATATGTTTTATTATTATGACCCCCAGAAACCTAAAGCAATATTTTTTAATTGGCGTGGCCTTTATTTTATATCCATATCGTAACAGTACCTTCAGTGATCTGCTGGGACAGACAACAGAGATTTCTTCAGAGCTAATGAAGTGTGTTTGCTAGGAAATGATAATGGGGATTAGGTGGGTGGCAGAACTAAGAGCAGTATACTGAATGAATCCCATCTGTGGTGACTGCTGCCTACACAGACTTTTTTCTGCAGTATCAGCTGTAGTCTTCATTTCTTGTTTTAACCTGTTGTGTTTAG